ATGGGGACTGCCAACATTTCAGAGGCCAGCAGAGAGAGGAGACTGTGACAAGGCCATAGCAGAAGAGAATGGGACTTAACATGGATCATCTCTTCCACACTTTAGGAGAGGCTTTTTCATTTTCGGGCTGAATAATCTCTGTGGAGTCAGGACAGCTCTTCTGGCCCACTAAGTAAACAAAATCCTTCTCAAATGGACGGAGAAGGAAACTTTGGCTCCAAGAGACTAAAAGAAGACAAAGAGGCATTCCTCCTAAACCAAAGCTCAGGCACACCTGATGCCCAGAGGCTTCATGACTCTGGTGTTCTCAGCTTATTGTCTTCTGGGGGCATCCACTTTGCAACTACCTGTAGCTACTACCATAATGAGATTTTGTGTCTTCGGAGATGAGATAAATAAGCCCGCTTTCCTCAGGGAAAGACTTGAGGCCCAGAAGGAAAAGGTTCATTTTTATGTGCAGCATGCATGCCTGTCCTGGCACCTGGAAGCTCTTGGCTGCACCTACCAGCCTCATGTTTGTTGGTAGGCATCGTGCCCTGAATAGGACACTGAGCCTGCCCAGGGCAGCTGGAAATGGTAAAGAAGAGAGACTGAGGCCTGGCATAGAATCTGCCTGCATTTGCTGGCAGGAAAATCCTGGGAAGACAGCAGAGCTGACCTAAAGGTAAGGAAATGTTCGCATTCTGAAAAAAGCAAGCTTTCTCTATTTCCCTATTTATGCCCCTAGAAAAAACCCCTTGCAGTGGCCCTTTCACCAAACATCTCCATTTGATTTTTTACAACTTTCCTGTATGATTGAGATTTTAATTAATATCATAGCTTTTCAGAAGAGGAAGATACCAAGAGAGGTGAATTGAGTTGTTCAAGGTTATACAGCAGGCTGCAGATTTGGCACCAGAAGCTGGGTCCCCTGACCTTCTCTGGTCACCATACCAGTCGATCCTGATTTTTTTGGCCCCACAATTGGCCTTGTGCTCCCTCTTTTCTGTGCACTCCTTGATTTTGTTCAGTGATAATTAGCATGTCAATCAGAAGAGAGTTCAAATTTCCCTGAGTCTGTCTCATGGGAAGGCAGGAAAAAGGAGAATCAGGAGGCCACTGAAGTAATTCAGGTAAGATATCATTTGTTTGTTCACTTAATAAACATTTTGAACACCCACTATGTGAAAAGCACTGTCACAGATGTTAGGGATTAGACAGGAGACAAAAAATATAGCTCCTGATACCAGGGAGCTTACATTCTAGTGGAGGAGACCATGAACAAGTGAAGAAATAAACAAGGCAATTACAAAGTGTGGTAGATGTTGTGGAAAAAAAAAAAGAATACAGTGGTATCACAGTGACAAGATACTTGAGCTAAGGTGGGCAAGGAAGGTCTGAGCCCTGAATAAGGAGCCAACCATACTGCAGACAGTGGGAACAGCACAGTTAAAAGTCCTGATGTGTGAACAATATGACAAAGCTTACTCTAGCTTAGTAGGTGGGAGTGGAGTGGATGCATTCGGTAACATTTAGAAGGAAGAATCAACAGGACAGACTAGATGTGGCAGTTGAAGGTTGAACTTGAGTACTTTGCTGGATGGAAGGTGCCACTCCCTGAATTAGGAAACTGGAGGAGGAGGAGGATTTAGAGACTGACGTTTCCCTGGCATGGTGCTCTCCTTCCCATCTGTATAATAGGTTGATCAGACTATAGGACAACCAAGGTTAGCACCAGTTCTTAATATTATGATCCTCCTACCACTAAATTTTAAATGGATCAAAGATTGCATTATAAAAATAGGTCCTAAAAAAACAATCAACCATGGGAGCTGTATTTTGTCTTCTCTTTTCCTCAAAGTGAGAAAAACTACAACACAAAATCCAGAATCAAAGAAAAATAAAGGATGGATAAATCTGACCCCATCAATATCTTAGGTTTTTGCAGGGCAGAAAACACTGGCCAAAGTCAAGTTAACTAGGGGGAAAATAGGTGCAACTCATCTAACAAAGAACTGATTTCCCTAATATACAGTGAGCTCCTATGAATCAATAAAACAGGCAAAGGAGGCACCTGGGTAGCTCAGTCAGTTAAGTAGTCTTGGTTTCAGCTCAGGTCATAATCTCGAATAGTGAGATCAAGCTGAGCCCTGCATTGGGCTCCGTGCTCAATGGGGCACCTGCTTGAGATTTTCTCCCGCTGCCCCCCACCCCAGCTCTTGCATTCTCTCTCAAATAAATTAATCTTTTTTCAAAAAGGAGGGGGGTGCCTGGGTCGCTCCATCAGTTGAGTGGCTGCTTCTGGATTTTGGCTCAGGGTCATGATCTCAGGGTCTTGGAATTGAGCCAAGTTCTTCGCTTAGCAGGTAACCTGAGGAGCCTCTCTCCCTCTGCTCCCTGCACCCCTCCCCCCCCAACACTCGAGTGCTTGCTCACTCTCAAATCTTTTTCAAAAAAATTTTTTTAAAAAGAGCAAAGGATATAAGCAGACAACAAAAGGAAAGTATAAGTGTCTCTTAAATGAAATGAGGCTCATTCCAAATAAGATAAATGCAACTTAAACTACCCCCAGGTAGCGTTTTTCAGCTATCAGACTGAAAAAGATCATAAAATTTGATAATGTGTTGATGATGAGATGGAGAAACAGGTACTTATGGAAGAGAATTGAGCAATATCTCTCAAAACTATATTTGCCCACACCCTTTGACCCAACTATCCTACTTCTAGGAATAGATCCTACACACACACACACACACACACACATATACACACACAGAATTATTCATTGCAGCAGTTCTAACAAATGGTTTGAACCTATCTCAATATCCTTCACTAGGGCACTGATTAAATAACCTGCGTGTATAATGGTATTTTGTAAGCCAGAATAGTGGTCCTGAGGAAGTTCTTTTTGTACTAATGGAATGACTTTCAAAATATAGCATGCACAAAACTGTACATATAGTACACTACTGTTGCTTTATTTGTGTTAAATACCTCCCAAAGGACCTTTGGGAAGCTGATTGCATTGCTGGCCTCTGGGGACGGAAACTAGGTGGCTAGAGGACAGAGATAGGAAGACTTTTCACTGTATTTGAGCCAGTTAATGAGTTATGCTTTCAAAATATAATTTTAAGGGGGTGCCTAGGTGGCTCAGTCGGTTAAGCATCTGCCTTGGGCTTCAGGTCGTGATCTCTGGATCCTGGGACCCAGCCCTGCTCGGCGGGGAGTCGCTGCTCCTCCTCCCTCTTCCCCTCCTGCCCCCGTTTGCGCCTCCCTCCCTCTTTCTTTCAAATAAAAATATTCATTAAAAAGTAATATAAATAAAAAGAGCAAACAAAACTCCTTTGTGGTTCTAGGTAAATCCAGTGAGAAGGGAACAAATATTTGAATTCCTACCACGTTCCAGATACCATTCCAAGCAGTGTATCCTTCCATATATACTACCCCAATTTAGCTTACCCAGCTAGTCCATTAAAATGGGATAAATCATTCTAATTTTACAATAGAAAATAAACTGGCCAAGTAATTTAGTCAGCGTCAAGCCTAATCTAGCTCCAAAACTCCAGCCTTCTCCACCGTCCGCACCGCTTCTACTGAAGCCGCGTGTGCAGATTTTAAAGCCACACTCGTATTCCTCGGGCACTTGGGATGCGCTGGGACAGTGCTAAGTGCCCGGCGCCGCTAGTCTCCTAATTCCCTAGTGGACTCCGGAAGGTGGAAGACAAACGAGACTTAGAGAGGCGGAGGTGGCGCGCAACGGGCCCAAGGTCACAGACACAAAGACGCTTAGAAGCGAGACTTAACTCCAAAGCCGCTCACAAGTCGAAACCACTCCCGGTTCAAAGGACAAAAGCAGGAGCGCTCGCTGGGCGGGGGCGGGGGCGGGGGCGGGGGCAGGTGCAGCACTTCCGGGGGGAGGGGCGGAGCCGCCGGGCTCCGAAGGCGGCGCAGGCCCGGCCACGGAGAGCTCGCGAGAGGACGTGCGCGAGGGCCGGCCCCCGCGCCGCCGGCGCCGCCTGTCCATCACCCGGCCCCGCCCCCACGCCGGCGCGCCCCCGGTCCGGCCCCGCCCCCGCCCCCACCCCTGGCCGGGCGGGAAGCGAACGCGCGCTCCCTCCCGTTACCCTCCGCCTGCGGGGAGGGCGGGGAAGGCGGGAGGCGCGCGCTCGCGTGCTGCGTGCTCGCGTACGTCGCTGGGGTTCGGCTGCGTCCGTCCCGCCGCTCGCCCGTTGCCGCCGCCGCCGCCGCCGCCGCCGCCGCCGCCGCGCTCTCGCTTCGCCGGCCGCCGCCTAAGGGGGGCTGGGGCCGGGCCAAGCCGCCGCCGCCGCTGCCGGGATGCCGCGGGTGTACATCGGCCGCCTGAGCTACCAGGCCCGGGAGCGCGATGTGGAGCGCTTCTTTAAGGGCTACGGGAAGATCCTGGAGGTGGATCTGAAGAACGGGTGAGGAGGGCAGGAGAGGGGCCTGCCGGGCGGGGCCGGGGCGCCGGCAGCGGTGGGGAGGGCGCGGGGCCTGCAGACGGACGCCGCCCGGCGCGGAGCTGCCGCCGGCCTGCTCCGGCTCCGCCATAGCCGCGGCGCCTCGGGGGCGCGGGTAGGCCGTGGCTCCCACTGCGCCTGCGCGGGCGGGGGTGGTGGAGGGATAATGGGAGCGACGGTGAGGCTCCGAGTGGGACGGGGCGAAGGAGCCCCCGAGCGGGGCCGGGGGCCGGGCGCCGGGGGCCGGGGGCCGGGCGGGAGGGCGGGAGGGCGCGGCTCCGGGCGCCGGGGCGCCTGCCTCCCGGGGCCTGGCTCGCCTCGGGTTAGAGACCGACCTTTCCCGCCCTCGGGGCTGCTGGGAATAAACAAACAGGATTTCCTGCTCCCTTTTCACCTCTTGCCCAGTCTGACGGATCAGACGGTCACCACGCATCTCTCCCGAGGACAGGCGCTCTGGAGGGAGGCCCTTCTTTTTTTTTTTTTTTTTTTTTTCTTGACTTGCATGTGTCACTTTTTTTTTTTTTTTTTTTTTTTGGGCGGGAGACTCGGGTTTGAGTGAGTAAGTAGTCTGGTGACAGTTTCGAAAGTATCGTCTTGCCTGCCGCGCTGAAAGCCTCGACCGTTCCCCTCTACCAGAGTCATTTAAAGTCTTGATTCGTTATCTTTAAAACTCCGTACAGTTTTCCATGCTGTGGTTTCCGTTCTGCAACTTGCCAAAAAAAAAAAAGAAAGGAAAGGAAAATTTTTTATTTTATTTTATCTTATTTTATTTTATTTTATTTTATTTTTGCTTTGTTGTTGTAGAATTTGTTAGAGAATCGTGACCACCCTGGCTAGTATCTGCGGCAACTAGGTAATGAGGCGGAGAGTCCTAGCTCGGAATTGTTAACTTCTGCCTCCCCGGCTTTGGTGCGTTACGTGTATCCCTGGATGTGTTTTGGCAAAGCAGGGCCCGCAGGGGGCTACACGCTTCAGGGGAAAGCGAGGAGTCTGGCTTGGAGAAGGTACTCAACGGGGAAAACTATGAGAACCAGGCAGGAAACGTTAGGTAGGACTTCAAAGACTTGGATATAAGTATTAAAAGGAATAGAGGGAACATATTAGGGGTACTAAACCTTGAGCGTTAGAGGAACTCTTTGGCTTATTTGGGAAAGAGGGGAAAAAAAGAAAGACATTTGCAACAGGTTTGCTATGGTACAGGTTACTCTCCATTGTAATAGTAGCAACTAACACCTGAGAAGTTCTGAAAAACCCCTAAGTAACAGTTGCACATTTGAGACAAATTGATAGCTTCCGTATACTCAACATTGTTGATCGGGTTTAAAAGTCATTTTAAAGTGATTGTTAGGAAGAACCACTGTCTTACTAAGGAAGATGTCCTCCATAAAAGTGTTTATTATGGGGCACCCACCGGGCTGGCTCAGTAGGTGGAGCATGCAACTCTTGATACCCTGGTTGTAAGTTTGAGCCCACGTTGAGTGTAGAGGTCAGTTTAAAAAGAATAATAATAAAATCTTTTTTTTTTTAAGCCATTTACTGTGAATGCTAATTTAGAGTAAAAAGGGTTAGGAAATTACTCATTTGGTACAATAGAGCTTTTAGTTCCTGAGGAATTTACTAGGTAAAGTTTTTGTTGTTGCTGTGATACATTATATGAAAGATGAAGTGAGAACTCCCAATTTTCTTCAGAGGACAACAAAGTTGACAGGATGACTAACTTTTGTGGGAAAAGTGTGGTTTTTGAAGCCAGGCATGCTCAGGTCAAATCCTGTCTTCACCACTTACTATCTGTGGGCAGGTTAGTTCTAGGACTGACTTTTCTCATCTGCAGAAAAAGGAACATTATAGATAATTGAAAGGCGTTTGGCTCATAGCTGTAAATGGTAGCTGTAATCAAATGGTTATGACTGTGATCCTTAGGAGACAGCTTCAGTGTTTGATTAACATGAAGCTTACTTCGTGAGGTCTGTTTTCTAAAGTTACTCAAGTGATAGTGAGCAGGAAGTGATGTTGATGTTAATGGTAGAGTAGTTAATGGAACAATGTGTTGATAACCCACCAACAAGATGCCTGCTACTGTGCTAAGTGGGTTGGAAAGAAAAAAACAATTCTGCTCTTGAGTAAATTAAGTGTTGACGGTGACAACATGTACTCTTTGAGTCAAGAAATGCTTACTCTCACTTTTAACTCAAGTAAAACTTGGAATGATTTGTTTGAAGAGATTTGTTTGAAATGAGCTTTGAAGAATGAATTGAGTGGGGATTGAAGTAAAGTGTCTGGGAATAATGTATGTCATAACCAGTGATGAGGAGGTGGTCCAAGAAGGAGTGCTTTTGAGAAATAATGAGCAATCAAGCTTGGATTGAGTCTTATGAAGGATTTAGAAATTGAATGACATAAGCCAGAAAATTCCAACTATAAGATTTTACACTGAGCAACCAAAATCATGGATAGGAATTCAAAGGCTCTGGAGGGAATAATTGAGCTCTCTGGGAAGTGGTGAGATACAAGATAGGACAGATCCTTGCAGAACCCTAAATTCCTGGGTCTCTTTGGGGGAACTATTTATTCTTAACAGTTCTGCAAAACCATGATACGTGTAAAGTCTGTGATTGAAAGTGTAGGTTGAAATGAGGAATTGGGAAGTTATTTCAGAGATTCCAAGTCAGATATGACAAACTGGCACACCTGGCAGAATTCAGGAATCACTGCAGAGGAAAGTGCTGAGCAAAGGACCAATATAGTATAGATGGCTTTCAAGCAAAAATTGACTGAACTAGATTGCAGAAGTGCAGAGGAGTCTGAAAGGAAAGAGTACATACAAAAGGAAAAGATGGCATAATTTAGCAACACGTGTAAGCTTATGGTGCTGGACACTAAGGATCGTAGGTCTCCTTGAGAAGCTTTTTTTTTTTTTTTTAACATACTTGGGTTATTAGTAATCGAAGAACTAAAGCAGATTTTGGATGGATAGAATTTCGATGAAGTGCTGAAGAGTTCAAAGTTGGAGAATTGAGATACATCAGTAGACCGTAGATTTGTTTGGAATTAATTAGGCAAAATGTACTGGTATAACAGAGTTCACCAAATGAGGAAGCAGATGAGCTCTCATTTAGTGTCCAGGAGAGGATGTTCTGGATCCTCTTGGCATTTTAAAAAGTTGTGTATGCAGTAGTTCATTGCCTGCCATTTTATTATTACAGGCAACTCTAATCTAGGTTGTCTTAATTTTAGAGAATTCCTAAAAAGCAGTTCAGTTGGGACCACCACATGATGTAGATCTAGGGCCATATAGACTGCTTCAGATCCTGCCACACTAACTCCAGCAAGAGCCACTATGAGATCAGAGGTCAAGGAAACAATAGCATTAGCTGTACCTGTCTATAGCCTTCCAACTCTGGTAACTTTTGCTGCCTTTGATTATTTGTGGATTTTGTGGGCTTTCTTTTTTACAAATAAATCACTTCATGTGAAGTGTAGAAGGTTTTTAATACAGTAGTTTCTCTTGCCACAAAATCTTGTGGTTATAGACATAGATCTTTATATCTTACTTTTTCCATATCTTAATTAATAGATTTAACTTATTACACCCTAAGCTTATTTTGCTTGCCTAGTAGCTGGACAGGTAAACCTCCAAATTATTGAGGGTTTTTTGTTTGGTTTTAAGTTGGCTAACGGCATGAATTAAAACTCTCCAGAGAAACTTGGCTGTATTTTCACACCTGTGCTTCATATTATAGTGAAAATGTGAATAGCCGGAATTGTCAGGGGATGTCCTGGTTTGTTTAATTGGTTCACTACTTAAATATTAGCAGGAAGTGTTTGTTTTCACCCTCCTTGAAAATTCCTTCAAGTAGAAGGTACCTTAATTTTTTTTTAATATGTTAAGACTCGCTCAGTGAGTCAAATCATTGTTTTTGTCCCTGATCAATAGAGAGCATTGTTAGATTTTAGATATTGAGATGAATCCCTTCCAACCCCAGACCCTACACAGGGATTTTCTCTGAGTCTTTGATGGGAGCTTGTCTTATTTAGTTTCTTGTCTTTTCTTTTAAAAGGTGCCATAACGGAAATATAATTAGTTTAGTGTTCCAGGTTATTGGTTTCTGATTATTGAACTATGGGAGATTATCTTCACCCACCACCAAATAGCAGATAAATCAGATAAATGTTTTATCATTTTTATGAAAATGGTACAACTAATGAGTGCCAGGAATGACAAAAGGCAAATACTCTATTTAAGAAGACCTCACCACGTTTTGTCCACAGGCAGTTTTGCTCTCAAAGATAATGACACTCGAATCCTCGTTGTCCAAGGTTTTGATTTTATGATTATCTAAGATGAGATTAAAAGTGTTTTTTTTTTTAAGATTTTATTTATTTATTCATGAGAGAAAGAGAGAGGCAGAGACACAGAGGGAGAAGCAGGCTTCCTGCAGGGAGCCTCATGCAGACTGGATCCCAGACCTAGGATCAAGCCCTGAGCCCTAGGCAGACGCTCAACTGCTGAGCCACCCAGGCGTCCCTAAAACAGTTTTGTTTAAAGGAGCTCTTGAACGACTTTGTTTACACGTAGTTAAAATTAAAGACCCATTCTTAATTCCTATAATGTTCCAAAATAGCATGTATTTATTTCTGATTATAAAATTTTTACGTAGGTATTTTTTAAAAATTTTAAATACAGAGGACAGAAAAAAATCATCCAAATATGGCACTGTCTGCCCTTTGAGACTCTTTTTTTCATGTATCCATGCACTTCTTATGCCTCCCCATCTTTTCTACAGACTTGGGGTCATACTGTATGTCTTGTTTTGTAAACCTTTTGTTTCTACCTATGAGCCTGATCCTTTACCTTTGTCAATAAGTATTCTACAACTTGATTCTTAATGGGTTCCCACCTATCAGTGTTATCTAATGTACATAATTAAAACCATGTTGCAAGACATTGGAGTTGTCTTTGGTTTTTTGCTAATTTATGCTTTTATAGCACTGTGGTAAATTTCCTTTAAAAAATCTTGGGGGTAGATTCTTCAGTGAACTTCTTGGAGTCAAAGTATATACACATCTTTAAGGCTTTTTCTAATTACTGGTTTCCATTACTCTCTAGGCAAAGAGTATATTTTCACCTGTAATGTTTAAGAGTTCCTGCTTTTCTGAACTCTCCAGTAGCCTTCATCATAATTTTTTAATACTGTGATTTTTAAATTAGAATGTTTAAAATTGTGTATGAGGAAATTATCTTGCAGCCTTTAAGGCTCAGCCATTTAGCTTACCAAGCATAACAGATTCAGGAACTTTTTTTATTTTAAAGAACTGTTTGATTAGAAAATAAATATTAAAATCCTTTTAAAATAAGGTCTTATGTGCAGTTGTATGTCCCACTTTCTCTACCTAATTTATCTTGTGTATTTTTGCTGTTACATAAAAATCTTACATCATTTTAACGGCTGCAGAAAAATAATTGTATGGCTGAATCATGATTTACCCAACCATTCCTCTTAGGTCATCTCTAAATTCTGTTTGTTAAAATAACGCTATGCTGGGTATCATATGCATAAAATTTTGTATTTTTATCATTCCTTAAGACAGATTCCGTGAAGTAAAATTCATGTGTCACAGCAGGAAAAGAACATTTTCAAGGCTCTCATTGCATATAATGCCAAATATTTTTCAGAAAAGCTGTGTACCAGTTACTCTTGTCCCAACAGTGTACAGCTCCTGTCACAACAGCCTCACCAGCATCGGGCATACATGTTGTTTAAAATCTTTGCTAATTTCACAGGTGCAAGTGGTCTCAAGTGTCTTAACCAAGAAGTTTTTTTTAAATGAGTAAGAAATAATGAGAAATAGGGCTATGGATTGAGTACCATTCTTTATTAGTAGTATAACCATGACAAATGTGACCAAGTTGGTTTTGTATTGCAGTCTCTTGAAGTTAGCCTACATCCAAAATTAATGTGTTACTTTTCTTCCTAAGACTTGGGTAATTTTTAAATTTCTGTCATTTTGAAAAATCGGTGCCAAGAGACAATACCGTACTGAAATTTTGACCAAATGTTGCTAGCGTAAATTCCCTGGCTTGAGACTTCCACTCCATGGTTCTGGTTTCCCAGTTTGTGATGAGAATAAACATTGTCTGTACTTATTCAGCCAAGTCATTTTAAACCCCTGTTCCTCAGTTTAATGTCTTTCTCCTCCCTTCCTCATTGAGGTATCATATGAATAAAAGGGTCATGTGAAGTATTTGTCCCTTTTTAAAAGATAAGCATAGGATGTAGACTAGATAAAAATGTGGTTTGGGTTCCCAGTATTTCTGGATGCTTCCAGGTAACTTAAACAGAAAGTTGTACTTTGAGCTTCTCTAAGAAAGGTGCTCCTAGTATGTGAGTAGATGAATACAATTGGGGATGGCCTTTATAAATTTGTATGCTAACACTGAAATTTCAAAACTTGAAAAAAAAGTATTAACAGCATGCACTTGTGTGGTTTCTTTTTCAACTGCGTACACCAAAGCACTTTATTACCAGGTGTTGTCTCTAGTTTGTACTGATGGGGAAACTAAGTCATGGGCTAATTAAGTACCTGGCTCAAGGTTACAGAGTGAGTTATTGACAGCTCTGGAAGCTGAAGCCCTTTCTTATTCCCATACCAGCTACAGCATGAGCAGTGGCAGTCACAGCTTCTCTCGGGCTCTTTCATTCCAGATGGTTCAGTTCTGTTGTTCTGCCATTTGCCTCCAAGGATGAGAAGGTAGTTAGGTTCCACAGCCTGTTTGGTCTATTTAGTCTTTCTACAGTCTTCAACAAGCTAAAAAGTTACTGCCAACAATGAGGCAAGTGGTTGTTTCTGTGATGTTGGCTCTAGACAGAAGGAAACTCTAGTGATACTCCTTCAGGGTATTCTTTGAAGACCTGTAAGATGGTGTCAGCTTTGTCACGGCTGACTGGGGTAGGATTTGTGCAAGCACATGCAGTTAAGTGATCTCTGTCCCGTTATTGCGAGGGGTGTCTGGTCTTGGAGTAACCTGAAAGCAAAGGATCAGGCTGTGCTCTGGATTTGCATGCCCATATGTTGAGGAAATGCCCTACATGACCTTTCCTGCGTGTTGAAATGAAAGTCTGGAGGTCTCAGAGCTGCAAATGATACCTGAAGACGCACCCAAAGGACACTTGTTATCCTTCCATCAAGTCCCCCAGCCACATCTTTAGGCCTGGATGCCAGAATGGGGGGCATTCATAAACAGACTTCCAAGACCTAGAGAAAGCGGGGAGACCAAAGGAGGGAGGTCTGAATCCGCCCTTCAGGAATGGAAAGGTGAGGAGGAGACTGAGGCATGGGAGTCAGGAACCACAGACCAGAAGCACTGACTTTGAGAAAAGTTATTTCATGTGGATGAAAAGAAGCTATTGATTCATTAATGTGAAAAGAATTTGAAAATGTTGTTAAAATACTAAATGAAATAAATGACTGATTTCAAGGGAAGGGCATCCCCCCGAGAAATAGCATAGGAAGTGGCATCTTTAACCAAAAAGGAAAAGAAACTGACTGCAACCCAGGGACTGTGGAGTGGTTATGAGGGAGATGGGAACAGCCAAGATGGTCCCAGAGGTATAACTTCTAAGAGGCTTTAACACCTGTTACCCACTCATAGTGCCATTTTAGAGGTAAGTATGAACTGGTTTTGTTTGTGGCTTTTGTGTGGAATCAAGTAGTGCTGTCTGTTGAGTGTAAACCTTTATTTCATTTAGGTATGAGTAACAGATACAGTATTCCTATCTTAATGTCTCAAGAGGTTTTTGGGTTTTTTTTTTTTCTAAATTGGTAATTTCATCTCTTGAGAGTTTTTTTTTTTATATATACATATATTTTTTAAGTCTGTGATTGTCTTCATGAACCTGTAGTGTGTTGTCAGGGAATAGTTGGCCCCTTTTCTTGTGGGATCTTTTCATAGCCTCTTAGTGTTGATAAATGTCAGAAAATTGAAAAGCACACAGGTGTGATTGTTTGCCTCTTATCCCCCATGAAGAAAGCAGCCATGTTGACTTTAAAATGTCAGTGAAATACATTTTGTTGTTACAGGGGGTTACGGTTAGAATGGTGATCCACAAACTATTCAGGAGTATGCTGCTTTCTGAGAGTAGTCCCATTTTATAGGGTGGAAATATGAAAGTGAAAGCCTAATGAAAGTGAAATCGCTTAGCAACCTTACGTTCATTTTGAAACAGTTTCGGATAGTTGAAAGAATTGGCAGATAGGCCTACAGAATAGTTATAAAGTAGACTAAATATGAACTTGATGCAGGTTCCTCTCTACTTCCTGTTCTGGAGGAATTTTGTTTTTATTGCTTAGTATTTAGGATATTGATTGTTTCTATAATATTCACCCCAGTATGTGAACATTCCTTTAGAGATGGGCTGGCATTCCTTTAATGATGTCACCTTTCTCTGTCTTCCTAGACTGGTGTGAAAATTTTTGATGAACTATAAAATTTGGTAATTTTGATAGGTTTGGTTCCACTAGTAGCTTAGAGAATAAGTGTTCACAACTTACTGGTCTCAGTACCTATCAGATGCAGAAATGGTATTTCTTACCATTTAGTATTTGTCATAAGATGCTAATACTCATATGGGCATTTCTCTTCTACAGCACATAATTTGATAAAACTGATTTTCTGTGCTTCTAGAGCTTGCATTTCTCAAACTGCTCTTTGGACCACATCTTTCTGTTAGTATTTGGGAGACAGTAGCTCATGATGATGAGTGTTGACTTTAGGCTAGGAAGGATTCCAGGTGTTGGTTAGCCTTGGCAAGTTCTTCCCTGCTCTGAGTCTTAGTGTCTTCATCTGTGAGCTAACAGTAAACCTCAGAGTTGTGAAAATTATTACAAAGGAGTTTGAAGAAGGAAAGGATTCTGGTGGGCTGGAGTAGTCATGTTAATAGTTGTTTGGAATTAAAATTATGTCAGATCTTAGATGCCTGTCATCTGCAAAGTACTTTCCTAGTTGCTGCTATAATCCTGGTGTAGTTGCAAGTCTGTAAACCTTATAGTATGCTTTGATTTCTGGTCCATTTTTTTTCCATACCATTCATGCTTATATTTTTTGGTCCAGTCACCATTCCTTATAAAATTAATCAAATGCATTCTTAAATATATAATTTTGTCAATATCCATTCACATCTACCACCTCTAGGCCTGACTCTCTGTCATCTCTATGCTGGTCTAATTTTTGCTGAGCCTTAAAACCAAAGACAGATTCTAGGGGTTGTTGTGGGACCTCCAGAATGGGGATTGCACAGAATAATCTTATTTTTCCTCTATTCTTCTAGTCTGTTATGTTCTGAACCCACACATGTTTTCGGAAGGACCAGATGGCTGACACTGGCTAATGGGAACCAAAAGACAAGAGTGAAAGTAACCTGGTTGTCACATACCCCAAGCTTAGAGGTGCCTCACCTTGCCCCAAGATCAATTTCTTTTTTTTCTCTGGAGACTTTACCCCACTTATCAAAAAACTTGAATATAACCTGGCTTATCTGAGGTTAGATTATCAAGTCAAGCAGCAGCATTTGTTAAATGAAAAGGGTTGTACTCAGGACTGTGAGAGAGAAGAAGCATCTGCCTTTACAAAGACAGTGTAACCTAGTCGTTTAGAGCTTGAGCCTGGAGTCAGATGGATCTAGGTTCAGATCCAGCCACACCACTTAGGAGCTCCTTGACAATGAACAGTAGCTTAGTCTCTCCAAGCCTCTCAGCCTTCTTATTTGTGAAATTGAAATAATCTTAATAGCAGTACATTCTTCACATACAATATGAGGAATGAATGGAATATTATGGATAAATTATTTACCGTGTGCCAGGCACCACACTAAATATTAGTCTTTGTTATTAAAGATCACATAATCAAATGAGAGGATCAACACAAAGAAAAAAGAGCAAAGCCGTGAAAGGCCATAGAAACATTGTCATGTAAAACACAAAATGGAGTAGAAGTTCCAAAGCTAAAGAAGGTGCTCAGATGATTAGTCAGGCGAGTGTGTGAGACTTCATAAAAGAGTTCTCAAGTCTATGGAAGAAGATTGTTTTTGCTTCACCTTGTGTAATCAAGGCACTCGGGTTTGGAAAACGATTGAAACAGAGATATTTAGGAGTCATTATAGACCTCTGAGCAAAAGAATGATCTAGGAGCTGGCTTTCCTGCTACACGTAAAGAGACAAGTTTTACTAAGTGAGAATAGCCATATCCTGGAATAAGTAAACCAATCAGACAGGAAGAAGAAGCCTCGGGGGGCCCAGCAGATGAGAGAACTAGGGCCAGGCAACAGGCTGAACAGTCAGCCAGAGAGGAGTCGTCAGGGGTGATGCCGAATGCTGGGAGATTAGTGGTCAGGGGCTCCAAGCGAGAGATATCATGAGGTAGGTTTTCTTCTTTGAAGGTGGGGAAAGATCAAGTGCAGACTGAGCTGTGGCCAGCGCTTACAGACCAGGAATCCACACTAGCTCTAATCAGAGAGCCCTTGGTGTGCGGGAACTGCCAGTTTGCCGACGTGAAAAGAGCCCCAGACTGGGTACTGGTGAGCCTTGAAGTCGCACCCCAGCTCTGCCACTCAGTGAGCACGGGTAAGTCATCCACCTTCTCCGGGCGGCCTTGATGGCCATCCCTCCTCTGAGGCTAAAGAAAGGGAGGCCAGAATGCCCAGAGCAGCCTCCTACCTGTCTCAGGATAGGAAAGGATCTCAGGAACCTACTTCATGTGGTAGGAACTCCCATTTGTGGGTCATAAACAACCCTCAGTGACCGGAAAAGTCAAACCGCAACCATATTCAGTGACCCAGAGCAGTGAATGTGACACTGATTAATTCTGCTTTGAGGGCCTAACCACTGCTCCCCTGGAATGTTGCAAACCTCTGGAACTGGGGCAGTGACCGTTCTCACTTGCAGGCTTTTCTCTGAGCTGGCCTCACCTGAGCGGTAGAGAACAGTCGCAGAAGTGGTTTTCTGCAGTTTTCCAAGCACTTTATGCAGACAGCAAGGATTACTGCTGTTATTACTACCCTGTCAATGTGCCCTAACTTTTTTCACCTCCTAGGACCATGTTGACCGAAGTGTAGGACCAACACTAAGTACTTTGAAAGAAAGCTGTTTGATTCCTGTTCACTGAATGCCATTTCTTTCAGGGTAGATTTAAGGGCTCTGCCGTTAAAGAACAGTGCTATTGACCCTAGTTTTAGGGTTCAAGCCACCCCATGGGTTAACTTCAACAGATCAAAATTTTTCCTTGGCTACAGCAACATCCCTAATCCTGACCAGCCATGGAGAGGTTCGGTTCTTACAAGGAAAATGAGTGAATGTGGGAATGACTCACCACATTGGGAAAACAAAACTCACATCCTGCTGATGGTTGGCTGAGGACTGTCATGTCCACATACAAAGAAAAGCATGTGGCACAGTTGTAGGACAAAGGTGAGCAGAGATCTACTGTGGAAAGGGGCAAATTTTTCTTATAGAGAGAACAACCAAGGCATGCCCCTCGGTAAGCAGTGTTGGTGGGTGATCGCAGGCACACGCATGGAGGCTTGCTTTCCCTTGCTCCTCATGTCCATTCCCCATTGGTTAGCCAGTGTCAAGCACCCCCTTAGTCATGCCCTGTCCGGTTAGCTTGGTCAGCATACCTCCAGAGCAAGTCACGCTTATCAGTTTTTGGAAGGGACTTTCTCCAGTCTCCCTCTTCAGTGACGATGTTTGGAAAACAGAAATGACCCTAAGTCGTTCCCAAAGAGGTGGGATAAGTGGCACATCCTCTTCAGTAAATAGGACATGCAGAGTGGTATTTGGGACCATCGAGGGAGATTATTAGGATCAGGGAAAGCCCATTCAGCAACAGTACAGTCCCAGATGATAATTCTTGGGTGAAAAGTGTGATTAACATTTCTAAAAATGGAAGTCATAGAGTAGTTTCAAAACCATGTCATTCCAGTTCCAGCATTTCAGAGTTGTGACTGACAGCCTGAGCAGTACGGCAACTGTTGAATGAGGGACACCAGAGCACTGGCAGGGGTAGGAGCTTGGACTAATGTCTAGAGCAGCCCACATAATTCGTGTGGCTTTGTCTGTGGTGTCCAGATACCTGTCTGTACTTGGTAAGAATCACAGTCCTCACTTTTTTAAGGAGGAAATGACAGGCCCTCCCCTCCTGTTTTGTTTTTTGGCTAAATCTGTCAGGATAAAATGTTACCCAGAGGAAAAGAGTTAGGGGAAAGGCAGTAGCAGAGAAATGTTGAAGAAAGAAATTTTTCTTTTAATTGAAAAATTGTGTACATGGGGATCCCTGGGTGGCGCAGCAGTTTGGCGCCTGCCTTTGGCCCAGGGCGCGATCCTGGATACCCGGGATCGAATCCCACGTCGGGCTCCCTGCATGGAGCCTGCTTCTCCCTCTGCCTATGTCTCTGCCTCTCTCTCTCTCTCTCTCTCTGTGTGTGTGACTATCATGAATAAATAAATAAAATCTTTTTAAAAAAAAAAAGAAAAATTATGTACATATAATAGGCCATGCTGTTTGTCCTTTGGCATAGGCATGGGACAGGGGCAAAAGACATGACAGCTAGGAGTAAAAAAAGCAAGAAGAGGCAAATCGGGAGGTTTTTGTTTTATTTTTACCAAGCCCTGCTATTGAGGGAATTTTATATTTGTCTTAGATTCATTCTCCTGAATTCCTTCATCTTCTTTATTCTCATACTGGAATTACTGAAAGATGGTGGGTTTTAACAGTAGAAGAAGAGTGTCTGCAGCTAGAAAGAAATCTGTTGGGTTTGTGAAGCTTATTCACAGGTCACACCAGAGATGTGTATGCATATATACACACATGCCAATACATAGTGTGTATGCATACATGCGTGTATTTTACATCCCTCCTTATTTTGACAAAGAGTTCAAAGGAGATTACTTTTCGGGATTTTAGTTTCATGTATTTATCGCAAAGCACGAAGGGATGTTAAGATCAATCTAGAAAGACCCTCTGATGTTAGTTACCAAGGAGAGCATTATTTTATTGAAGGCACTAAATTTCATTCAGAAACAGTTAAAATTTAAAACTAAAATTGGGACCCATACAGTAGTTTTAAAAGGTACTTTAGATGATAAAAACTAAATTTATCCTGTCCATATGTCATGTGGTGTTCCTCTGATGCTACCATATTTAAATTCTCCCATTTCAACATTTACCTATTATACTTTTGATGTTAGGAAAAACTTTAAAGATATGAAGTATAGCTCCTTTATTTCATGGATAAACCAAGACCTAGGAAAATAAGATGACTTAAATCTACTTGTCATAGTTGCTTGATAGCATAACCAGGACTAGAACCCAGGCCAGTTCTTACTGCTCCAGTCTTACTAGTTAGGAGTTTGCCTTCTGGAGTCATACTACAGATTTTTAATGCCAGCTCTGCTGTTTTATCATGCAAGTTACTTAACACTGTGTACAGTTTCCTCATCTGTAAAATGGGGATAGTAGTTCCTGGCTCTTGGGTATTGTAAATATAAGATAACATTGTGTAGTATATAAAGATTACTTCATAAACATTAAGTAACACCTTATTGTTACTATGTAGTCTTCCTGCCTAATTTGGGGAACCCACTCACTACCTTTTGAATAAAACAAAAGCATTGTTTCAGTAAAGCAGATCTAAATAAACAGTAATGTGGTAGAAGCAACCACACTGATCTGGTCTTTGCTCTCAGGACAGGAGTCCCTATCAGGTATGGTTTGTGATACAAGAGGATATTTGGTTTGATCTTCCAAACCCACCTAGCATTGCCTGTGGTCCAGAGAGGTGACAATCACGTGCCTGATTTGATCCTTGGACTGGACTTTAACATAAAAATTTCCCAAATAGGGGTCCTCAACTTGCTCATTCAGTGGAGTATGCCACTCTTGATCTCAGGGTCATGATTTCGAGCCCCACGTTGGGCATAGAGTTTACTAAAAAAAATAATAATTAAAATACAGTTTCCCAAATAGAGCTTGTGGCTTTTCACAGAGTAGCCTTTTTTTTTTTTTTTTCTGTAAAGCAAATTTGATCTCAAGGTAGCTCTTTAGAAGTAAGTATTAAGGAAGGACTGACTGTGTAAGGGTTATTTTCCTCTCAGGGAAGAATTCTAGTCAGCCTCAGCTGTAAGAAAGCTTGGTCTGAGCATTAATTGTTTTGTTTTTAGATAATTGTGTCTCCATTTAACAGATTGTCATTACTTTCCTTCCAAGGTCAGAATGGATTCTGCATGTAAGCCTTGGAACAGAGTGAGCATGCACAGGGTAATCTTTGAGTCGGGGAGAATGCATTACCACATAGGTCTGACAGAAGCATCACCTGTTAGTGACAGAAGCTGGGCTTACAATTTCAGATGATTGGCAGAGCTTAGGGTCTTGCATCCTCTGACCCTCAAATAGTTGTAAACCCTGATTATTTTGAAGAAAATCGTTGGGGTATATCTATGATTTGTTCAGTCTTTGGAAGTCAGTGTTGTCCTTCTGACAGCACGTTAGATGAGTCAGGGTCAGCAAATGGGGCCACACCAGCATGCCACTCTTAGAGGGGCATGGGGCCATTTCATCACACCCAGGGTGAATGTTTTCTCTCATTGCTCTTTACTTGACATCAGGCTCTTGCCCATATGATGCCAAGAGCAGTGATGCTGTGGGCAAAGCAGACCTATGACCAGTCTTGACAACTAAATTAAGGAAGGTACTTTTGGGGGCATGAGAGTATTTTATGATCTGTCAAGAAATAAACCTAAGAAAGTAGATTTGACTTTTTTTAATTTTGTCTCTGAAAATGATAGTATAGCTTTCCTGCTATCTCGTTCTGCTCAGGAAAGGAAAAAGCAGCTGCAGTATATTATCAATGATAGATTTTCAGTGACTGTAAAGCACTTTTTAACATAGTAAGTCAATGATTGGGAGAAGCTTCACTTGCTTTGTCAAATATGACATCGTGTTCAGAATCAGTCTTACTGCCCTGCACAGCAGTTCAGCCTTCTGGAAGCATCAAACCATGTATTAGACTTTACAGCCCACAAATTAAGCCAGGTTGCTTCTGAATTGTGTTACTGCAGAACATTTCCAAAACATTTCCCATGACCAACCGGATGTATCTGTGTTCCTTTTTTTTTTTTTTTTTTTCTTTTTAAATGGAGTTAAGATTCATTGACTTGAAGTTTGAATGCCACTCATAGACATTTCAACGTGAAGAACCCTCCAAAGTGGTCAGCCATACACTGTCACCTCTGGAGACTGGTTCGAAAGGACTCTTCAGTAAAGGGAAAATCCTGCAATTCCGAGTTCCTCTCACTTAACATGTTGCTGAGTGCACCATTACGTGCTAAGGAAACTGGAATAATTCCGATCAGACTGGATGAACTCCTGGCAGGCCTTGTAACATGCTGTTAGTTCCAGAATGTTAAGACACAGCAGAACACTGGTCAGTGTTTGCCTGTGTACACAACCTAACTTTCCTTTGTGATCAGGTGTGATCATTAAGATGGTTTTGAAGTATAGGCAGTGGTCACAGAGCTAGACTGCACAGCTGTGTTGTCAGACCATTTGTTTAACCTTACTTACAAATACCTTACACATTTTGCTGTTTAGTTTTATAAGTTGTGTTCTTTAACAGGTGTTAATAGAAATTGGAGGGGGATGCTTTCTTTTGGGTATGTGTTAAACCAGCAGACCTCTTTGTTGGGATATTCCTAGCAATACTGTGTAGAGAAGCTTGCAAAGTCACATACAAATATTAGAGAATTCCAGCCTACCTAAAACTTTCAGGAAATGAATTTGCAAAACCACGAGGAAGTGAACAGATCTGATTTTTTTTTCCACTGATAATTTCTAGAACAGTAAATTCAGTTGTGATTAATTTGTTTAGGTAGAAGAAAAGTTTTGTTTTGTTTTTTTTTTTCCTTTCACTGAGATTTGAGATACTGTAAGTTTTTTACTTGGTATGTTATTCCAGACATGACTTAACAGTTAAGACACGGTACCTAGATTTAAGTCTAGTTGTTCTCTAAGCTCTCATTTTGGGCTAAAGCTAAAAAAAAAAGATGAGTTTTTATGTGATTTGAGAGGGCAAATACTCAATGTTACAGAGTTATGTATTTTGATCCTTCATACCAAGTATCCCTCTGAAGGTGTCTGCAGTTGCCACCAGCTACTTGAGGAACAAAAGAAATGGTCTCCGTGTATTTAGCCAGCCACCTACTAGAAATACGTTCTACCTTGAGAAGTCTCCCTATCCTCTTGCAGTGCCTGTTGGCACAAAGCAAAGTGGTTTCAGCCAAAGGGAAGAGAAAGCCAATCCTTAGTTTGCAAAACCCACCTAACCTTTGCTAAGCATGACCCTCATTGCTTTCTCTTTAATGGTAGTGAAACTGGATGTCAAAATGGTGCCAACCGGGATTTTGTTTGCTCTCTTCTAGATATGGGTTTGTGGAGTTTGATGATCTGCGTGATGCAGATGATGCTGTTTATGAACTAAATGGCAAAGACCTTTGTGGTGAGCGAGTAATTGTTGAGCATGCCCGCGGCCCACGTCGAGATGGCAGTTACGGTTCTGGACGCAGTAAGCATTTAAAAGGGCATTTGTATCAATGACATACATGCCTTTGTTGTTAAATGTTAATTTTTTAAAGTAATTAATTAATATTATACTGAAATGTATTGCTATTTAAGCTATTTGTTTTATAAATTGTGTATCTTTTTAAATGTAAAATTGCAAATAAACATCTTTGATACTGTTTAATTTTAATTTAATTAATGACATAAAGTTCTTGTTTTAATACTTTATAAATATGTTTAATGATGTGTGTTTGTGTTGTTGTTTTTTTTTCTCTGTAATGCAATTGTTTAACATAGATTTAACAAAGACCTCAATGTTTTAATTAAAAGAATCCTTTGAGGCTAAGATGACTGCCTGTTCCATTTGCTGACCTTGGGTTACCTTTCCATGCGTGGCTCTTTGAACCATTGTGGCCCTTGGCTGACCAAAACAGGAAGCCATGTGACGACCGCAACCTTTCCCCATTAGACCTGGGTGGTGAGGATCCCAAGGGTTAGACACAGATGAGATTAAACTGAAATAGGTGCCTGAAAATCTTTTTTTCGTATAAAATATTCACAAAAACTTTAATCACTGTGAGTAACACCAGTAACTGATTTAGTAATTTGGTTACTTATTTCTAAATTGTTAAATTGTTAATAGTTTTAATTTATGCATGTTAATTTTAAATGTAATATTAATGAATATATATATACTTACCACTTCGTAAATTAAATTAAATTTCATGTTTAGTTGATTGCTTCTTTAAAAAAGAAATCTAGTTTAGAATTAAGGGGCGGGGCTAGAACTAAAATATCTGTGCTGTGTGGGGTGGGGGTAAGTGGTAAACTTAAGGGGAGTATGTGCTGTGTCACTTTTTCCTTTTCCTCCACTGAAGTAATGTTATCTATTTGAACCTTCCAAAGGTGGATATGGTTATAGAAGAAGTGGCCGAGATAAATATGGCCCTCCTACCCGCACAGAATACAGACTTATTGTGGAGAACTTGTCAAGTCGGTGCAGCTGGCAAGACCTAAAGGTTTGGGCCTCCTTAACCTTGTGGGATAAGGTCAGGCAGTTGTTGAGCTTGGGAAGGAGGTAATTCTATGTAGGCCCAGGCAAAAACAGAATGTAATGGTATTCTATGTTTGAAAACTTTCCCAAAGTGTGGAAATTCTCTTAAAGGTTCCCGGGGCTCCTGGCAGGCTCAGTTGGTCGAGCCTGCAACTCTTGACCTCAGGGTTATAGATTCAAGCCCTATGTTGGGTGCAGAGATTGCTTAAAAATAGTCTTTTTTAAAAGTAAAAAAAAAAAAAAAAAAAAAAATTTTTTTTTTTTTTTTAGAGTTTCTATAGGAGTACAAAAGATATCAGAATCTCACTGTTACTATACATTAGGGGACCATCACTGTAAAGACAATGTATGTTAAATGAAATTTTCTTCTGTGTAGAGGGTATTGTAGTTTTTCACCAACAAAAGAAAAAGCTGCAACCACCAATTGGAGGTGGTTTGTGTCAGCTGTAGTATGCAGGTTTGTGTCAGCTTCCAGTGTAGCTCTTCTTTGGTATAAAGGACTATCTAAACTCATGTTCTTTGATAAGGTGTTTTGGGGTTTTTTTCCATGGAATGTTCATCCTGAAAGACTTTTCAGGTCAAAGATTGAGGTCCACTAGCTGTGTTGACCATCTAGTGCACTGATCCCAGCCTGTTTTTTGACAACAGTGTTCTTAAGTTCAGGGAAGAAAGACTTGAGTAGTATCTTAACCTGGATGGTAGAAGGACAATCACGCTTTTCCCCCTCTCACTTCTCACTTTTAGTCCATCATTGAACAGGTCCTCTCTAGCAAAACGAGTATGTTTAGGTTCGGCACAAAGTAGTTAGGAATCTTACATTCATGTAATTTTTAACTAGGCAAAGCAATATCATATCCTTTTCTCCCCTTTTTAAAATTGTTCCCAACAGTCTTCAGATAACAGAGATGAGATCCAGAAAAGGTTCACACACACAAAGGTCTTAGCACAAGAACCAGGACTAGGACCTAAGCTGGTGTTTGTTTGTTTTTTTTTTTGTTTTTTTTTTTTTTTTAAAGCTGGTGTTTCTTCCAGCAAGTTGTGCTGGTTGGCAGCAGTGGAGGAGGCCCTCATGGAATGTCTGCTGGCAGGCCTGTGCTCACTGGAGAAGTGACTCCAGTGTTTCTGAGAGTTAAAGGTTGAATGGTTGGGGTAGAAACTGGGAAAGGCTTTCAGACTTTTGGTTAAAATGGAGCTTAGCCAGTGTCTTCAGTTGGTTTTGTACTTCTGTACCTTTGGTAGTTTCACTCTTTGGAAAAGAGAGTAATAGAGCCAGATTTCCTTGTAAGTCAAAGCAGACCTGAGAACAGGGTTTTGGAGCCCACCTATCTGGAATGAATCCCAGGTCTGCCACCTAGCAGTTATTTTACTTGAGCAAGTTACTTTCCCCTTGTGCCTCATATTTTTCAACTAAAAAATGGGATCCATATTCATTTTTACTCGAAGTTATTGTGAGAATTGAATGCAATTCAATATTAAAAACCCAAGAACAATTCCTAGCACAATTAATGCTAGCTGTTAATTGAGGAAATGCAAAAATAAATTTAAAGGCTATTGTTTTTAAAATGTATAAAATTGCATCCAATGATGATGTTGTCGAGATGAAATTTAAACAGTAGTGTACCTCCAGAGGCATTGAGAATTGGTAGTTTGACCTGTCGTGTGGAGTTGTTAGTATTATTTCAGGTTCTGAATTCCAGCTCCTTGAAGTCTATATAATCTCCTTTTCTGTTCTGCAAAATGAAGGAAATAATTGTATCTATCTCATGTTAGGACTTCAATTAAATCATGCCTGTCCATACAATAAACATTTAATAGTTAGCTCCTGTTATTAGTAATTTGGAAATAGAAAACAAAAGTAGTGACATTCTTCAAACCCTTTTACTAGAGTTAACTTATATCTCAACCTGTCCAAGACAGTGTCTCAGTCTTGGCATAACTTAATAGCATCCTTGTTCCACCTCAGAGGTGTCCAAATTCAGGTGATAAATGATATAGACGCCCTGTTTTTTACCCAGAACCTCACTCCAAATAATTCAGTTGAAGGGATTTTCCACAAAGATGTCCCTTGCTGGATTATGAGTAACAGCAAGAGACTATTTAATCTGAAATTCCCAACAATTGAGAGATCCTCAGAAATAGTATTGGGCACACTAATTATGAAGATGTATGTTAAGACATGTAAACATTTTATGATGCAGTGAGCAAAGAAGGTATTGAATGGCATGTGTTCAGTGTTTATAACTTTGTAAAATACAGAGAAGAAACCAATAACAAAAATAAATTGTGGTTCAATATTTATACATTCCACAAATGTTTATTAAGTATATACCACATGCAAAGAAATATGGGAAAATTAGCCATAAAGCCTTAAGTTTTAAATTTACCTTAATTTCACAGTGTTTTCGAACACTAATCTGAGCTCATCTTATTTATACATCACTGTTAAGATTTACTTATTTACTTGAGAGAGAGAGTGAGCAGGGCAACAGGCAGAAGGAGAGGGAGAGAGAATTTCAGGCAACCTCCCAGCTGAATGTGGAGCCTGACATTAGGGCTCGATATCACAACCCTGAGATCATGACCTGAGGTGAAATCAAGAGTCCAACACTTAACCAACTGAACCACCCAGGCACTCCCACTTTATTTTATTTTATTTTTTTTTATTTTTTGGTTTGGTTTTTTATTTCTTAATCTACACCCCAGATGGTTCTCAAACTCACAACCCCAAAATCAAGAGTCAGTGCTCTTCCAGTGGAGCCAGCCAAGTGCCCCTCATATGTCACTTTAGTGTTTATCTAGCAGTTAATTGTATTCTCTCACTGGATTATATTAACTCCTCAAAGAGAATGAGCATAGAGGCTTACAGTGTGAAGGGACATGTGTAGTCATGGAACCTTTGAAGCCAGAACTTCACAGTACTGTTTTGTTGCCGTTCTCTTTGTTTTGAAGAAATGATATAGCAGTAATTTTATTTTATTTTTTTAAGTTTTATTTAAGTAATCTCTGCACCCAACATGGGGCTCAAACTCACACCCTGAGATCAAGAGTCACATGCTCCTCCAAATGAGCCAGCCAGATGCCCCTACTAGCAATTTTAAATAAAACTGAGATGCTAATCTTATAGTCCCTTTATGGATTTTTTTATATATGTTATCCTTAGATATTTGTCAATATTTATACATGTTTTCAACAAGGATTTATAATGAACTGTAAAAGATCTCTAACTTTTACTTTTATTCATGTGGTAACATGGGTGTCTAAAACTGCTGTAAACAGGGGATCCCTGGGTGGTGCAGTGGTTTAGCGCCTGCCTTTGGCCCAGTGCGCGATCCTGGCGACCCGGGATCGAATCCCACATCAGGCTCCTGATGCATGGAGCCTGCTTCTCCCTCTCCTCTGCCTGTGTCTCTGCCTCTCTCTCTCTCTCTCTCTCTCTCTCTCTCTCTCTCTCTCTCTCGCTGTGACTATCATAAATAAATAAATAATCATTAAAAAATAAAATAAATAAATAAAACTGCTGTAAACAAAAAAACTTGCCACTATAAAATTTAGAAGATGATAGTTAAAATTTTTCATATTCATAACATAACTATTTAAGGGAATAGCATCTCTACTACTCACCTGATGCTTTAAAAAAAACCTTAGTAAGTGGGAAGTATGTAGATGGAAATATTTTAAAGAGTAAATTTCATCCTGAAGAAAACTAAGTTTTCTTCCCAAAGGAAAGGGAAAACTTTCATCATGATAATTGCATTAGATTCTAACAAAATGTATCCTAACCTATTGAGTGATTTTTTTCTT